GAGGTGTTACTGAGATATAAATAGGAAAGAAGGAGAGAGTAGGAGGAAGGAGGTGACTTTTGTAGATTAAGCTTTAGCTCTTTGTGAAGGAAAATCCTTGAAGGAGAGAGGGCTCTCCTGGTTTTTGTTCTTTCAGTCTATTCAATAAAAAACCTTTCTTTTCTTTCTCTTGTCAATTCTTGGTTCCTAACATAAACTGATTCAAAATACCTCTGAATAAAACTTCTGAGTAGATTATCTGATAGTTGGCAAAGCTATATGTAGTAAATATGGCTTTGTACAGTGAAATTCTGAGTCAACTATTATTTTCAACACATTCTAGTTTACCTTGAAAATTGTACAAAAAAGAAAGATTCTAGGCTACCTGGTTCAATCATTTTTGGGTTTAGCATCACAAGTATCCTCTACAAGAAACAATCTTATCCATACTAAGAACATCCCCACATAGTGGAGCTAATTCTCTTATCTGACATATACACTATATACAAGACTGAAACCTGAGATTTTACTTAAAAAAGAATGAAACAAATAATACCAGAACCAACCACTAACTTAATTCAAGAAACTTATTCCTTTTTATCACACTCAAGTTCATAATCAATATATATATATATATATATATATATATATATATATATGTAATAAGTTTCTCTAATAAAAATTCTAAACCTACCAAATTTATTTTCAGAATACACTTATCAAAAGAAATAAATTTCTAGGAATAGAAAATATTTGTAATATGCTTGTAGCTCTTAGAATAGGTGTGATGATGCTGAGATTCAATCCTTCATTAAGCGAATTATTCCTCTCCTCCTACACCTAGGTCATTTCTTATGTTCATATGTCGAAAGAAATTGCAAGTTACGAAACAAATGGAGATATTGAAACATAAAAGAAACTGATTTTAAATAATCGTTCACATTTTTTAGTTAAAGGTGAAAACGTGCTACTCCTATAAAATAAGACAAAATAATGGGTCAATTTGTTTAAACTTAAACCAAGTATTTTTGAAATAAAAATTTTTTAAAAATCATTCATTTAGAATGAAAAAAGGGTTTTCTTCTTAAATAAAAGCAGAAAATTGCATATTTTAAAATAAGCAGATTAGACAAACACATTAAAAAACAGAAATATGCTTATTTTATTAAAAATATAAGCAGAAACAAACCAGTCCAATACAGTAAAAATGCATCTCAAACAAGAAACTTTGGGATACTAGAGTCCTAAACCAAAAACTGTTTATTCTTTGATAACAGGTATTTCAGGTAGTGGCTGTTGCCCTATTTCAAAGTAGTGGCATGGCTGTTGCCCTGAAATGTAATAAAGCAGACCACTCTATTTTCTATTGTCACACCTCCCCTGAAAAATGTGTACTTCATAGAATATGATATAGTTATTATAGGGAATGATGCAAACTAAAATCTCTCAATTAAAGAAACACTAAAGCAATAATTTTGAGACCAAGGATCTTAAAAATCAGAAAATATTTTTAGGTAGAAGTAGCTCAATCAAAGAAAGGAGTTGTAATCTCTCAAAGGAAATATATTCTTGATATCCTAAACGAAACAGCCATGATAGATTGTAAACTAATGGATTGTCCAATGGATCCAAATGAGAAACTAATGGCTAAGCATGAAGAATTTTTCTCTAATCTAGAAAGATATAGAAGTTGGTGGAGTCAATTCATGCAAAATGCTTGTAAAGATCACTGGAATGATGTCATCCGTATCCTAAGGTATCTCAAAAGAGCTCCTGGACAAGGACTACTTTAGGAAGATAAAAGCAGTACTCAAATCTTTAAATATTGTGATGCTAGTTTGGTTGGTTCTCCTATAGACAGACATTTTACCACAGAATATTGTATTTTGCTTGGAGGACATATTATCTCTTAGAAAAGCAAGAAACAAAATGTTGTTTTCTGATCATTTGTTGAAGCTAAGTATAGAGCAAAGGCATCCCTCACTCGTGAGTTTATATGGGTATAACAGTTCCTCCAAAAACTAGATTTTTCTGAGATTCAGCAAATGAAGATGAACTGTAATAACCTGGTTGATTATTCAAAAAAAATTTATCCAAGGAAATTTACCCTAAGTTTGTCAAATCAAATGATCAACTTGGAGATGTAGTAACAAAATCCTTAAGAATACCTCATAGTCTTAAATAGAAGTTATTGTTAAGGTGTTGTGTGCTTTGTGCTAGACCCAGTTCCTAGATATATCTTTTCAGATTCTCTTCTCTCCCTTCTCATTCATTGTATCTTGTGTATCTAAAGTCGTTATAAATGAGATACTAAGAAAGGGAAATTCACTCTAAAAATTTCAATATAATTCCCTTGTATTATTCTCAAGTATGACCTTCTAAAGAAAGAGCATCACGAGAACCAAACTCGAAACCTTTTTGAACCCACTAATCAAGCAATCATTATTGTCCACAAAATTGCTTTCCTACATATCATTTGTGTTTATAGGGAAAATAATCACAAACTTTTCATCATTAATTTGTACATGCACCTCCCTTTCATAGCAGTTTGTCATGGACCAATTATCCGAAATGCTTAGGCTATTTGGGGAAGGGTCATTAATGACATCATATCTAACATGCTTGTTCATTTAACTACTTACAGGACTAATGAATAATGCACAAATTCATTGTACATTGACCTAAAATTCAACTTGTCTCTAAAAACTGGGGCAGGAATGATAAAAGTCTTGACTGCTAGGTTGTATATGACCTTATATCCCATCATAAACCAACTAACCCAAAAAGCTTAAGTTGTTGAAGATAGGAGGCTTATGAATAGATTTTATATCTAACTATTTAAAATAGGATACTGTCTTCCAAGTTGTAAACCAAAATGTATGATGATAATAAAAATTACCTTGTGAACTTCATTTCTACATGTAGATTCACCACTTAACAGGATCCAGTATTGGAAATTGAAAAGAATGTGGGAGAATAAGGATACCAAAAAGTCCAATTGAGGAAGACAGCACATTCATGAGAAGAGTCTCAAATGAAAACAATGGATAAAGTCCAGAGAACCTACCACGGATGATGCTTGCTAAGTAAGCTTTCCATCAACTTATCAGAATAACTACTTCCATTTGAATGTGGTGCTGTGTGTTTCAGAGAATGCCCAACCGAAATTGGGTTTTCTTGGTGCTCGTTTTCTTGACCTAGATCGCCTAAAGTCTCAGGGTTGTCATCATCACCAAATTCAAAGAGATGCAGCATTTCTTCTTTAGAAATGGTCCTATGCACCTGCTGCCTATCAACCACCCTAGCAGCAAGCCCCTCCTTTGTGACCTATTGAAATCATTCTGGAGTGAGAAAAAAAAAATCGACAAATGAAAAATAGAAGCACATCATGTAGTACTACTACCTGGCGCTTGTATATCTTCTCTTCCATAGTTCCATGAGCTAGCAATCGATAAGCAAATACAGGCTTTGTCTGCCCATACCTGCAAACATGAAAATTATTTTTATTTCAACCACACTGTTTAACAATTACAATAGGGTCTGTTTGAAGAAAACTCTTTCATAAGCACTTCTAGGTGAGAAAAATTTGAAGAATAAATTAGCTTATAGACAGGTTAAAATAAGACTTTGGGGAAGCCAATACGAAATCACTTCCACAATTTAGCATATGTAAAAATGAAATTTTAGTTTATGGAAAACCCAAATTTATTCTTGCTTCTAATGTCTCATAAAAATACTTCCGGAGAAGTTTCTCAAAACATATAGAAATTAAGGATCTATCCATGAAGACTTTGATTTTTAAAACTAGCATAGATATTCAAAATCAAATGAAGATTTTGATTTGTAAATTTTGAGGAATCAATTGCATACAATACTGTTAACAAAGCACCTACTTTCCCCCAATATAAGCATAGATATTCAAAATCAAATGAAGATTTTGATTTGTAAATTTTGAGGAATCAATTGCATACAATACTGTTAACAAAGCACCTACTTCCCCCCAATATAAGCAAATGCTTTGGAAGGAATAAGAAAATATCGATGATCATCATTAATAGTGTAAACCCCAACTTTCACCTTGCAGCTTAAGCTTTTTGGGTGAATGGATTCTTGACATAATTTTGGAGCCTCTATAAGATCAAATGGTCTACAGAATTCACCCTTCTGTTATCCATTCTTCTCAAGAAAACCAAGTTTAAAATAAAGGTAGGAATCATATATGCATTTCACACACTTCTTCAAACCTTAATGAACTCTTGCATAAGGGCTTATGTCAAAGACAAAATAAAATTCATTAATGTGATTTCACTTTATAGCTTTTATTTTAGGAGTTTCTTTGTAACAATTAGTATTAACTGTTAGATAAGTAAGAACTCTATAGGACATCTCTTTTGTTTTTTGTTGAATTTCAATTCTATTCAGATAAGTAAAGATGAATGCGAAAAATTGGAGGATAAGAGAATCTATTTAAAAAACAAAAATACAAACAAACAAAAAATTAACTAAGCAAAGAAATGGCTATAAAAAGACAATGAAGTTTACAGCAAGTTGAGGCCAAGCACCCTATATTATCCCAAAGCACTGCTCAAATAAAGAATTTTCCGTAAAGCACCATTAATTGTAACTTATTCCATCATCCCCACTCCCCCAAACATTTATTCCTACTCCGATTTCTCAATATACAAAAGTACACTATTTTATAAAAAATGTTTCCAACAGAAGAAAGCCTTCTTGGACTGAAGGAGAAATT